AAAATTCTTTGTTGCTTTAGTTTGTGCCTGTGATAACCCTTCTGTTTATTTTAGAAGTCACTAAAAAATGCTCTGGCATGTAAATGAAAAGATATTAGAGGATACAGGTAATAAAACATTGATTGTAAACATTCATGAATATGAAAAATAGACAATAGATTTTAATGCAGAAAAATACGTAAATAAAAAGCAAATCAAGGAAAGCACCTATGAGAGATGTCATGAGTGGACTTCCTGGTCTTTATTAAGAAGATGGGTAGAGCCCAAGTCCTATGCTTTGAAGATGTTAAGTGGGCTCTACATTTCTTTAAATTCTTAAAACTACAGATACGTAGTACTTTCTTCTGTAAGGCAAGAAATAAATAGGGTCGTGGTAGGAGGGTTATTACAAGTGGAAAAAGAACACTGATAATCACAGTGGCAGAAATGACAATAATGAATATTTACTCAGCACTTAACCCTGAAGCAGAAGATGCTGAGAATTTTACATGGATTATACCACTTAATCCTCACAAACAATTTTCTCAGGTGGGATGCATAAGCTGTCAGAGAAGTGTTCTAACATAATTTCAATAATAACATGAATTCTTCATGGAGGATCAGGCATTACCTCCCCCTGCTTCTCTTTGAAAATGAATCCAAATTCACTAGATGACTGAATTCACAGGGATGAAGGAAAGCTTTCTGATCAACTGACCCGCACATAAATATATCTGTCTGTCTGTTACAGTTTGAATATGAAATGTCACTCACAGGTTCATGTGTTAGAATATTCAGTCTCCAGCTGGTTCTATCTAGGGAAGTTATAGCATCTTCAGGGACATACAGGGCCTACATCATTAAGGACAGACCTTTGCAGATTGAACCTACTTCTGGTTCCAGCATACTTTCTCTGTTTCCTCTGCACTGTGAAAAGCCCTTCATCACAGATCCATCATGTCTTCCCCATGACCCTGGATAGAAACCCTCTGAAACCAGGAGCTAAAATAAACTTCTCCCATAACTTGCTTCTGTCAGGAATTTTTCCATAATGATGAGAAAAGTAACTCATGTTCCATATTAAATGTGACTATAAAGGAATACAAATATCATTAATCTAGACTTCTTAATTTCCAGGTGGAAAAATATGACACTTAGAAATTATAGACATTTACACTAAGATCAAGGTTGTTAGAGGTACCTCTTCCAGTCAGCTGACACTTTTTCCAAACACTGTGATCTCACAATTGAGGGAAGGAAGCTATAAGCCAACACTCTGGTTTTTAACAAGCCTCTCTACGAACATGTCTTCTCCATTCAAAGAAACTTTGGAGTCTATTTCAGTGGGTTGGGTTTATATGACTCTGTGTTAACCCCAAACTGTTCATTAGACTACGGCACACTTCTTTTCAAGTTTGCTACAATACCTTGTAACTGAAAAATAATTTACTTAGGGGCTAGAGATATGGCTCAGCAGTTAAGAGCACTGGCTGCTCTTGCAGAACTCCTGTTCAGTTCTCAGCACCCACAATGTGACTAACAACTATCAGTAACTCCAGTTCCAGGGAATCCAAAGCCCTCTTCTGGCCACTGCAGGCATTGCATGCACATAGTGCACTTACATACATACACATAAAATGAAAAATATAAAGAAAAAAAATTAATCTATTTTCAAAATTTCTAGAACAATGTTAGAGCTGAATACAAAAGAGACCAAATCACAAACTGAAATTTATTTCTAATTGAATCTTGATGGCTGATTCATTTGAGTTTTTTTAATAATAAACTAGTTCATCCATATTTAATTTTTGACTTCTGATAAAGAAAGAAAGGGATGCAAAGGAAGATGACATCAAGGAAAAATGAAAACACAGGAATGCTACATAAGAAGAAGAATCAAGGAGGGGGGAGAAGCGATAAGGCACAGATGATCCTCTAAAGATGTAAAGGAAGCCAGGCGATGGATCAAAGCCTGGCCAAGCCATTCAGAAAAGTCTCTCTTGACCTCAACACAACAGAATATAGCTTGCCATAGAGAGCTTCATCAGGTGGCTTTCAGTGACATCTTTGTAGCTGGTGGCCAATCCTGACATGGATATAATTCATTACAGCTAGATGAAAGTTTGCATGCTTTGGATGGAGGATGCTGGCTTTCTTTCTTATTAATAGCTCATCAAAGTACTCATGAGCATGTTCCACTTCAGCCATACACTTAACAAATGACTGACAACCCAAAATTACAAAGAGCATGGTTTGCCAAATGCACTTTAGTTCAGTCTGCAATGTTTTACCATGATGTGGCTGAGGATTAGTTCTCGACTTTTTTCTTTTAACATTAGGGTGGAGATTCATTGCTATTTAGTATACAGACAAAATAGCTGATAATGAAAGCCTCCAGTGTTCAACCTAGGAATAGATGACTGAAAGTATTTTAAAACCAACTAAAAGCCAACTATGAAAGCCAACTAAAGAAGTAAAGACTTAAGGCAACATGGAGCTACTTTTTAAGGACAGCTTTTATGAGCAACTGGGGCATATCAAGGTCAAATATATCAAGAAGCACCTGGTTTTCAAACCTGGTTTTCTTTCTTCTTTTCGTATTTGAAAACAAAAACTACACGTAGTTTTTTTGATGACATATTAATTCAAAAATGGTATTCATTTGTTTACAAGGTGATGCCATTAACTGAGTAACTTTCAACTGAGAGCAACTATAGCCTCACAGACGCCCCATTCTGCAAACACAATGGGTGAGCAAAAATGTAAATATAAGGTTGAACAGATTACTCTCTTATTCTAACTAAAACTCCTGCTATTGCTTTATTTTTAAGCTGCCACCAACATGTTTAAATGATAATCGCATCTTCTCATTGAGCACAATTCCTTATTACTGGAATTGGCAGGGGGCCCTGACATTTGAGTCATCCATTTCATTATGTCTATTTCTTACCCTCACACACAAATTAAATAGAAGTGCAAGTCCGTTGAAATACAGGGGGAGAAATCTGAAGCAGTAACTTTAAACTTCAGTGGTTTTTCTTAAGTTCAAAAAACATATAAAGCAATTAACATCTGTAATAATACAAGTTGATCTGGGCTATTAAAAACATACTACATTTAATTTTAAGGGCCAAAAATGATTCAAACCCTCCTAGTCAAATATTGAAGTTGTATAAAATAAAATTGACAGGTTTGATATTCTTTAAATGAAAACCTAAAATAATTTCAGTCTTAAAGTTACCACAAATGTGGACAAAAATACATGTTTATCAAGTTTCTTCCATTCTAAAAAGGCTTCGGAATGGGCAGTAATCATTAACCATATATAGCATACATGCTAAACATATTAATAAAATGTCTTTGTGTGATCAAATAGGACAAATGATACTAATCTATTTAGACTAAAAGAATCCAAATATGCCAAACAAGGCTTATCCTCAAGTAATTCACATCACTGGACTTCTATAATAAAAATATTCCTGAATAAATTTTCTAAATCACCAGATTTAGTCAATTGGACTAAATGTACATCCTTCCATCTTCTACAAATACATTGTTTAAAATGTTTCCATGGAACTCCAAAATTATAAAAGCTAATCAGTTATAAAGCC